TTGCTGTTTCTAGTAGGTGTTTGTGTTTTCTCTCAACTACACCATTCTGCTGGGGTGTATGTGCACAAGATGTTTGGTGGATAATACCATTTTCAGAGAAGTATTGTAAAACAGAATTGGAGAGCCCTATTTCTAAAGCATTGTCACTCCTTACAGTCTTACCATGAGGATTGAATTGGGTTTTGATCATAGCTATGAAAGCTTTCAACAAGGAAAAAACATTACTTTAGAATGCATTAAATGGGTCTAAGTGACCCTACTATGATCATCCACAATGGTAAGGAAATATCTATCTCCAGAATATGTTTGTGTGTGATAAGGTCCCCATGTGTCAACATGAATCAATTCAAATAAGGAATTAGAAGCAGAAGTTATATGAGAAAAAGGCAATCTGTTTTGCCTTGCTAATGGGCAAACAGGACATGTAAAAGATTGTCTAGAAGATAAATCAACAGATATAGAAGGAATGAGCTTCATTTTAGCAAAGGGAATATGTCCCATCATGTTTATTTATACTATACACATCATCAGAAGGAACTAAAGGAATAGAATTTATACTATGCACATCATCAGAAGGAAGTAAAGGAATAAAATTCAAAGCACTTTTATTTGGTACAACTTTGTTAATGGAAACATCATAAACATTCTTAGAGTGTACATTCTTACTAAAAACAGAAACAGGGAATCCAGAACTAGGAGTAGTGTGATCCTCATGAAGAAGCTTGTAAAGTCCTTGGTCCAATTTACCAAGTTCCAGAAGCTTCCTCATGGAAAGGTCCTGTATGAGAATGCATGAACAAGAAGTAAACAGAATTAAGCACTTGAGTTGTTGAATCAATTTGTGGACAGAAATCAGATTATAGTGAAAGGATGGAATGTATAGTACTTGATGAAGAGTCAAAGAGGGGAACAAAGTAACAGATCCTATACAAGTAACCTTTGCCTTGTATCCATTAGGTAAAGTCACTAAGTAAGGAGTAGTTAGTGGTATGATGTTAAAGAGTATATCTTTATTAGAGGTCATGTGATCAGTGGCCCTATTATCTATGATCCATACACTTCTACTAGCCCCAGACAACAAACAAGCATGAGACTCATTGTCAAAATAAACAGGCAGAGACAAAATACTACCTGCAAAATTTGCAGAACCTATCAGGTTGGACTAAGAATCAGAATCAGAACCAATTTGAGTCTGCTGCAGCAATGTCATGAGCTGTGAGTATTATTGTTTGGTTAAACCAAGAATAGATGAAGCTTGATCATCACAGATTTGACCAGGAGTTCCATTACCAGAAGTACCATCACAAAACTGAGGAGGACTATGCTTCTAACTAGGATATGGACACCCAAACTCAGTGGACACATTTGTAGCTACCCTCTTTTCCTTATTAAATTTGAAATTCTGGGGGAACCCATGAAGTTTATAACATTTTTCAATTGTGTGACCTGATTTCTTACAATACTTGCAGAACACATTGATTCTGGACTGTCCAAAATCTATCTTTTGATTGTACTGTTTTGGAGGGAATGTCTTATTATTCATTTTGGCAGAGAAAGAAGCAGACTCTGGAGTAAGTTGAGGACTGAAATGAACTTGTCTTTGATTCTCATCTTGAAAGAGTATATTATATTCACTATCAAGTGAAGGAGAAGGCTGCATCATTAACAGATTACTTCTAACCCCCATATAAACCACATTCAAACCCATAAGAAACTGATGTAGTTTATCCTCCTCGTCGTCTTTTTGAATGCCTGACTTAGCAGCACAAGTACATGAATTACCATGATTTTTACGCATGGTCCCTAACTCATCCCAAAGTTTCTTCAATTTATTAAAGTATGAAGCAATGTCAAGAGACCCTTGCTGAGTTGATGCTAACTCCTTTTTAATTTCAAAAACCTTAGTCCCATTCACAGCCCCATATCTACGCTCCAGTTGTTTCCAGATACTCTCAGCAGTTTCTGAGTACTGGACACTCTCAGCAATAACTAGTGAGAGTGAACTGGTTAGCCACGAAATTACCATATTATTGCATCTATCCCATTGTCGTAATTTTGCGGAATCGTCAATACTCGAAGGTCTAGGACAAGAGCCATCAACAAAAGCAATTTTGTTTCTAGCAGAGAGAGACACTATCATGCTTCTCTTCCATCCCCCATAGCCAGACCCAGAGAAGGGAGTACTAACTAGACATGTTCCAAGAATATCAGAAGAATGTATGAAAAGAGGACTTGAAGGATCAAGATTATACGAAGTTTCAGTAGGAGTTCCAGGATTTACCATAGCTCAACAATTTGGGACAAAATCGCGTAACAAGACAAATTCAGAATCAAAGTCGTACATCAATGAAGTAAAATACCACCAGCTATGATGCAAAGGACAGAAAAATTAGGGTTACCGATCTTCTTCCTTTATACTCGAAGAAGTAAGCCTTGAAACACTCCAAACTGATAAACTTGCAGGAATAGGAGATGACCGTCAGAAATCGGAAAAAATCCTCGCCGGAATTTCAGAAAGCTCTGTTCACCGAACCAAAACCGGAAAAAATCTTCGTTCTCTTTCGATTCAAACAACAGGGTCAACACCGCTCGAGTTATCACGCTTGAATCTACCCAAAACCGTGGCTCTGATACCATGTTAACATTGTAATAAACAAAATTGATGAGATGAATCTAAGGTTGCAGTTCGAAGAGAGAAGACGGAGACAGAGAGACAATTAGACTTTCATTCATCTGATTAGGAAAGTTCTAGAGTATATACACATATATATACAAAGGGAAAAATAGTCTTCTTCTATCAATCTAACCGGTTAATATAAATACAATTATTGGGCTGACTTTGCTGACTTTGGCCCAAATCTTTTTTATAGGACTATGGCCCAAGGCTGTATGTTTATGTAACTCCAACAGTGTTAACTCAGACGACGAATTAACCTTTGGTTTCAACTTTGACACACACAAATTTATCCGCCATTACCATACACCTTCAATATGTGAAAATATATTAAGTTAAAATTGCTTATTTTATGATAAATAAATATAAACGGTATTAAATAATATATAAGTGATCTCTAATAACACATAGACAATATGTGATTTCTTTAGAATCTTCCACTTTATAAAAAATTGCGTGATCTTGATAATAATTAATAAACGAATAACCAAAAAATAATTAGGCAATCTACTATGCTATGTTTTAGAAAATCAGGACTATTTTCCGTTTTTACCAATCAAAAATAAATAAATTAAATCTACTATCAAATATCCATGGTATTCTAACTTTCAAATTTTGTGTTTTTGTGTTGAAATCGAGAAAATAGTGATTTATTTATTTATTTAAATCCATCCATCTAGCCTTTCACTTATGGTGGGGTTAATTCCTCATTGATGAGCAACACAAATGACGAGTCTGATAATCTATTCTTCTTCGATCAATTATAAGTAGGGCGGTGCATAATTTGGCAAATACAGAATTACCGTATCAAAATAAATTCTTTTGATATTTATTATTCAATATTTTGGTATTCGGTATGGTATTTGGTTTAAGTTTAAAAAAAATGGTATTAGTTATAATATTTGGTATTTTAAAATAAAATACAGAAATACTGATACCTTACCGAAATATATATTATATTACACAATACACATCTTATTAATTATCATAAATATAAAAATTCTAAAATTTTACTATCCTTTATTCTCTAAGTTCATCAATTAACTCTAAGCAAGTAACAAGACATTTCTAATGATTAAATTTATTTCTTTATGTACAGTTTTCTCTCTCCGAGTTGATATTTGTTGGATTTAGACAAAACTTATGTCAACACATGTTTTATTTTTATACTTTTGAGTACTTTAATTAAGAATATTACAGTCTATGACTCTGTACACTAGTTAGTATTCAAACCGAATAAACCGAAATTATCGAACCGAATAAACCGAAATCGAAAGGAGAAAAATCGAATCATCCCGAATTTAATTAGGTACGGTATTGATATAGCATTTTAAAAAACTGAATATTAAAAATACCGAACCGAAATATCTGAATATTGTATCGTACTGATCGACAAACACCCCAAATTGTAAATACCAATTGTAATGCTTACCAACTTGGAACCAATTGTGGCACAATTTAGTAACGATGAGAGTAAAGAAGGCGATAAAGAGAATTTTTGGCTTAATTGGCCTATTTGATGTTTGATTTACATTCAGAACCACCAAATCTCATCGAAATAACTTAATTTTACTTGTACACAAAGCCTATGCATGCCGGCCCCCTCCGTTTACCTGCGCAGGGGAAATCTATAATAATTATTCTGCATTTTCTTTTTTTTTTAGCCGACTAACTAAAAATTAATTGAAAATCAAGTTTTAAGTAGTTAAGCTTAGTATTTCAGCTTTTTGAAATAAGAATTACTCCATCTGTTTTAGTTTATTCGATAATAATTTCCTTATCAGTATTTGATCACAACATCTTATTTTGTAAGAAACTTTAAAAGTTACGCAAATATTATGACACATTTAGTAGGCGTTTGGACATAAAAATTGTAAAATTCCAAAAAGTGGTGAAAAAAATTTTCAAGTGAAAATTGTATTTGAAATTTAGAGTTGTGTTTGGACATGAATTTCAGTTTGAGTTGTTTTTGAAGTTTCATGAGTTATTTGAGCGAAAATTTTGAAAAACAGCTTGGAGTTTTTCAAAACATCTACGTGAAAATTGAAAATTTTATAAGCAAACGCTGATTTCGAAAAAAAATAAAAAAATTTTAGAAAAAAGGAAAAAAAAAATTTATGTCCAAACGGGCTCTTAAAATCAGTTATTTCAAAAAAAAAAAAGAAGAATTTCCTTTAATTATGTGTCGAGTAAAACTATGACACATAAATTAAGACGAGGTAGTAATAGTTCTTTGGTTTTTTGAAATTGAACCAAACCCGATTGACAAAACGAAAACTCCGGTTGGGTCGATTCGTTATTAAAACCGAAAAACGCTTTAGAACGAAGGTTTTGTAAAACCCTATAAACCAGAAATCGCCAAAAGGGAAAAGAACAGTAAATGAAACTTGGTGAATTCTGAGAGTACAATCAATGGCGATCGCTATCAGACGAGCATTAACATCTTACCGCAGCTTCTCTGGTGCATTACGCGCAACTAATTTCACCGCCCATCGGTTTTCCTCTTTAGGTGGCTCCATTTCTAGTCCAGTCCGCAGCTCTGCAACTATTGGAAGTTTCCCCTCTTCTCCGCAAACCAATTTTCTACTTGAAAGTCGCAGGGGTTTTGCTAAAGGAAGGAGGCAAGCTAGTAATGATTCTATATTCCTTTCTTATTGATCCTCAATTATATATATATTTCTTCTTCATGTTTTGGAATTCATCATTGAACTCTACATATTAGGTGGATAAGTATCATCACACCTATTTAGTGCGTATTCTCTTTGTTGTTAAATGTGTTTACATTTCTAACTCAGTAAGCTAATTGCACACTAAAGTAGACTTCTGTAGTTGCCTGTTTGCTTGATGTTCCGTGCTGAAAGGTTCAAGAGTTCATATAATGAAAAATATGTTAGAATACATTGTAGTTGAATCAAATGGCTGGGCTTAGGTTTAACTCCCATTCTTGTTTTGACTGGGTGTTGAGTTTAAGAAGAAAGGAAAGAGTTTGGAAACTTGTTGGGCTGAAAAGAGTAAAAAAGAAGAAGGAGAGTTTTGAAACTTGTTGGGCTAAAAAGAGTCATAGAAAGGAAAGAGTTTTGAAACTTGTTGGGCTAAAAAGAGTCATAGAAAGGAAAGAGTTTTGAAACTTGTTGGGCTAAAAAGTGTCATAGGCGTTTGTGTGACTACTAAATCAATCTCATTAAGGGTAAAATAAGAATTTAAAGTTAAATTATTTTTAAATATAGAAATGTGTCATTCTTTTTTAGACATACTAAGTAGTAAAGTTTACCAAATAAATTGGGACAGTGGGAATATGAGTGTTCTCTCCTTTAGAGTTGTTACTTGATCACATCAATTAATTAATTTCATCAACAAGAAAGGAACTTTTGCTTATTGAAGAGCATTAGTTGATCATTCGAGATAAAAGGTTTCTAGAGTTTGTTCAATACAAATGCAAAAAACATGGTGTCTTTAAGTTTCTTGTTTTGACGTGATAGTTTTATCTTTGAAGTTTCTGACTCTTGCAATCTGTTGTCCTCCACGGCAAATTTTTAGGGGAGGAGGTAGATGACGATGATTATGGAAATCCAGCGGCTGCTGTAAATATAGGTCCTAGCATCAAAGCTGCTGCAGTTTCACAGATGGAGGCAGCAATTGATGCATTGTCGCGAGAATTGGCCAAGTTGCGAACTGGCAGAGCATCGGCTGGTACATGAACTCAATTTCTGTTGTAAAACAACACAACTTGTTTGTCCTGGGACTTGGACTCACTTGTTTCGTTTATTGGAATCACAGGGATTCTCGATCATATCATTGTTGAATCAGGAGGTGTTAAGACACCTCTTTGCAGGATGGCTGTCATTTCAGTGCTTGACCCAAAAACCTTGTCGGTGACTCCTTATGATCCAAATGTAATATTATATGCAAACTCATATCCATAATCTGTCTAGGTTTCTATATTTGCTCGATACATAATCAAAGCTTGATTTATGGAGCCATTCTGATGTACATTTATATTGCATTGAGGTTGCGAACTGAACCATATTTTAGATAAACATGAACCATGATCGACTATCTTTTGCAGACCGTCAAAGAATTGGACAAAGCCATTGTTTCATCTCCATTGGGGTTAAATCCTAAAGTGGACAACCAGAGGTTAATTGTGCCAATTCCTCCGTAAGTATCCATCTGAAAGAGTAATTTAGTCTCTGTTGGTCCACCTATTAGTTAGGCTAAAATGTTAAAAAGAGAAGCAAAATGTTGATTTAAGCTGGACTTGATAGTCTTTTTTTTTTTTTGGGAAGAAAGATTTGAAACCTCACAATTTACAAAGTGGACGGATCTTCCCCTTACTATAACTTTCATGTTGCCGGTATTTACATGTAGAATCCTTGAATTACATTATGATAATGTAGACAAAACATCATTGTTACACTTTTTCAAGACAAACATTTTCTTGCTAGGGAATATAACTACTTCAGGCAATTCCTTATCACAAACACTACTTCAGGCAATTAAGTTTTATGCTTCTTTGCTATTTGCATCAGCAACATTTTGAGATATTTGATTGGGGAACTTATATATTTGGCCACTCGGTCGAGGATATTTACATTTGTTAGCCAATATAGATAATTTATACACTAATTATACACAATATATACATTTGCTGGCTATTTTTTTTATTTTTTGAGTGGATGGCTATTTAAGTTAATTTCTTTATTTGATTTGCAATGGAAACTTTATGTCTTGTTAGATTTCCAATGCTTTTTGACTCAGCCTTTCTTCTTTTCTTGGCAATCCGTGCAACAAGCAGGTTGACTAAGGAGCATGTGCAGGTGATCCTTGTCAATTTTCAGTTCTTTTTTATATGTTTCTCGAGCTGATAATATCATCCTCTTTACCAGGCTGTATGCAAGGTGGTTGCAAAATCATCTGAAGATGTTAAGCAAAGTGTAAGACGGGCCCGGCAGAAGGTACACCATTGACCAAACACCTTTGTACTTTCTCCTTTTCCTCTTCTTATTTTTTGGTTAGTTTTCCTTTTCCACTTCACTTTTTACTTAAAGTTCTCCTTCCTTTTTTTTACATCCATAACCAGGGCCATTAAAAAAAAGGTAGCCTTGAGAAAGGAAGTAAAATACCCATTTCATCCTATTGAAATATATAAGCACAAAATGTAAGAGCAGCACTGTAAGAAAGGAGAAGATGATTGGGCAATGGATGGGATCACACCCGTGTTATCCGAAGGATAAAATAACTGAAGATACCTAAGGAGGGCAAAGGAGAGAGAACCTGGTAAATATGTTTTAAGGGTTTTAGGGGAAATAGTGCTGTGGAAAACCAACATATGATGAGAGAATAGGAAAGTAGTTGCATGTATATTATATGAAGTCAATAGGAATGGGCTTCTTAGTGATTGAGATTGACCAGAATATGGTTCAAGCCAACTCAAACAACAACAACAACAAAAAACCCAGTGAATCTCCACAAGTGGATGGTTCAAGCCAACTCAAGTTCATTAAAAGCTGTGAAGAGAATCAGGCCCTAGTTACTCATAATCTGCACCAAATTCTGTGTAACCTTAATTGTAAGTTAGTTTGTTCGAATGGTGTAGTACAGACACAGTAAACACTAGACAATTGCATTTGGCTATTACTGAAGTCCTTGATACATGATGGCGCTAAACTCTCATAAGCATTTATTTAAGTAGTATAATAATCTTCAAATAAAGGGACGTGTTGCACACTTTTTAATTTTTGAAGTCCTTTTTCTTCCACGAGCATAAACGGTCCAAATTGGACGAATGGATATTGGTGATTCATATAGTCGACTCCAACTTGTTTTTGATTGAGGTGTAGTTGTAGTAATAGTTGTCTCTAAAGATCCACTAAATTCATTGTAAGTAATAAGGAGCCAACAATTGGATTGCTCTTACTGATCCAAAAGAATCAAAATTTACAAGTGATTAGGAACCAACACTTGGAGTTTTTTTTGGATAGAGAGAACTAGATCCAACGATTGGATTTTCTTACTCATCACCCCCAAAAAAAAAGATTAAGTTGCAAGGAGCCAACAATTGGTGCTCTCTTATCAAAATGTATATACAACTACGAGCTATAGGAAATAGATGGAATGGGAGTCAAATAAAAGTTTAAAAGTTTATGCATGAAGGTTGTGTATCTGGAATATCCAAATGAAGTTGGAGGTGTGTTGAACTTTGGTTATTGCTGGGTAACAAACACATGAGTGCTGCAGTTGTATAGAAGATTGACTTTCTGTTCTGGCTATGCTGAAGTGATTGGATGCGGAGAGCTCGGAAATTAAATGAATAATAACTATAAGTGCTTAGAGGGGTTATATTTATATGTACCCAAATTCTGGTAGTATTTGGTTGCAGCTGTGTATACGGAAAGGTTCTTTAGAGGAATAAGAGAGAAGGGCTATCGGCCTTGCGACGTTTCTACTATTTTCATTAGAGAAGTGGGGAGGAAAAATGAAGTATCTAAGAGGAAAAACTGGGAAGTTCAAACTAGGGGAATGCTAAAAGAATAATCACTCAATTCATTAACCTTCAATTCAGTTTGGCCACTTAAAAGAGGTTTCTGTAATTTTCAGGGATGCTGTTCTGTATTAGCAAATTAATGGAGCTCTCCACATAGCTGACTATTTATTTTTCTTGTTTAGAGTTGGGGGAGTGTCTTTGTGCAATTGTTGTGTCTGTGTGTGTGTTTATGCCATATGTTACATGTATGGTAAACGGATTCTTTTCCCATGGTGATGTCCACAATACTCTCCTCACATGATGTGGGCTGTACTGAAGATAAAGCTGGTCAATCACCTATTTGTCTTCTGTCCTTTGTGAGGTCCAATGTTTATATTCTATTCTCTCATTGCAAGACAACAGCATGGCCAGTGATATCGCGGCTAGATTTATTAGTGAACTCAATCTCCACAACCCCAACAAAATGGAAGTAATGAACAAAGGGAGAAAAGATGTTGAGCTGATGGAAACAGTTATATGCATGTAGTTTTTGCATGGATATTAAACCCAAGAACTTATGTAACAAAAGTAATCTCGCCTGGTTGATACTACAAGATGTTAATCCCTTATTTTAATTACTTTGTATATCAGGCTTTGGACACTATAAAGAAATCTTTGCCCAAAAAGAAAGACAAAGACAAGGCAGCTTCAGCTTTCTCGGAAGATGATGCTAAAAAATTGGAGAAGGAAGTACGTTATTTAACTTGTTTGCTGAAGAAATTGCTATGTGCTGTATAATTTATATTCTATTCTTTACAGGCTCTTTTACTTCGGTTTGTGTGTGTTCTTTCAGATTGATGACTTGACTAAAAAGTTTATAAAGTTGGCAGAAGATATGTGCAAGTCAAAGGAAAAGGAAATAACTAGTAGCTGAAAAAGCAAATTTTTGTTTTAGCAGAGGCTCATTTAGAGATTCAATTTTTGGCTGAGGCTGTTGAGGGAAATACTTAAGCTCCAGAATTCTTGCCTGCAAAGTCAGAAAAAGACACAAGACATGTTCGCGTGATTATGCAGATACTCGAAGGAAAATATTGTATTTCTTTTTTAAGCTATGTTGTTGCGTTGTTGGGTTTTAGTGGTTTACGTCCAAGATCATATATCTTATTATTCTGTGACAAGTGTTGAATGTAAGCTAGAACGAAAGACGAGCATAAATTAATGACCTCGTTTGACATTTAGAGATGAAATAAGTTGGAAGTTTAATTAATTTTATACTATGTTTTGTTATATTAAATTGTTAGATGGTGAGTGACTGAGTTGTAATTTGAATTAATTTTTAAGGCAAACGAATTAACCAACATTTGCCAGATCCTCAGAAACTCGAAAGCATGAGATAATCAACTAATTCAATCACATTGATTAAGAACTACAATCATCAGAAATTGAAATGTTTAAGCACAATCATAACTTTCTTCTGGTTTGGTATATATTTATGATTCTTAAGTTCCACAAACATTGTCTGCTTGAACTGTTAATAAATGGCACTTTTGCCTTTACAAGAATGTAACGTACAAATATGATTGCGCAAGAGTTGAGAGCTTCATCCAAGGAAAATAACTGTGTTGAAAATTTCTACTTGAAGTAAAGCTGTAAAATTGAGTAGTGTTGATAAGAATACTTTGGCTGTATGATCACAAAATAAATGCACACAGATAGAGCAAACGAGTTAAACTACAGAAACGTAATATAAACTTGACATCCAATATGTTGAAATAAAAACTCATATAATTATTCTTGTAAGAAAATATTGTATTTCGTATAACCTATGCTGTTGGTTTTAGCTGTTTACGTCCAAGATCATATGTCATTTCATTTTGAGACAAGGGTTGAATGCAATCTTTTTTTAAATTCAAAAACCATTTCTTCTCTTTCCCTTCTTACAAGAATAATTATATACAACCAAAATATAAAGCAATTTGCACAGAGCAGAATCATACCAAATAAAATTTAATCATCTGTTAAACTCGGCTAGAAACATAATCTAGGTGAATATAAGCAATTTTACACTTCAGCACTGCCGAATTGAGGATCTAATTGCCAGCTCTAGGACAAAAGGATCAAACTGTAGATTCTGTAACTCTATAAGATATCACTTCGATAAATGGAAGATAAGGTAACAATTGTACTTCAACTCTTCTACCTTAGGCACATTACAGATTCTTCACTCATCTTTGCAGTTAGTTGATATGTATGATTCTTTGATGCTAGAGTGCAGTAAATACTACCCTGATCAAATATCTAATAGCTGCACGGGGAAACGAATATGCAGAAGCCAGGATGGTAAAACTCCAAAAAAGGTTGGTTTGGATCAGCCGTACCTACATGATTCATGTTGCAGCGGATAAAAGTACAACATGAAGATTTTAACTAGCTGATAATGCGGTAAGACAAACCAACATGCTCTCTCTTGTCATGAAATTGCTTAAGTCTCTTCAAGTTTCTTCAGATTGGAATGCAAGGTCAATCTTTTCAACATGAACATTGCCGTCATAGTCAATTTTGTAGGAGATGTCAAGGCCTTCCAAAATAAGGTGGTAAACAATATCATCAGGAAAATGAAGTGTCTCTTGACTGTCATCATCTTCAAGCGTTACATTATCCTGGCAGTCTGAATTCTGAGAGATCATGCTGCTATTTTCAGTCTTATGAGGCCGAATTCTCTGAGATACTGATCGAATGTCCCATGACAGCACTTGTTGAATCAAGTTTTGAAATTCAGTAGGAGAAGTATAAAGGGATATCTTCTTCTTCTTCTCTGTTATTCTTGACCAACAATGGTCAAGAGAGGCAGAGAAGTCGTGAGAGAAGTTAACAGATGCTACAGCTAACATATTATCCACCTTTACCCAACCGGGGACCATTGCTCCAGGGATACTATCACAATATGGAAGATATGGCTTAATATCAAGAACTGGAGTTCCATCAACTAAATCAACACCAGAAATGAAAACTTTATTGCCATCCACAACATCAACCTTTGCAACAGTGAGGCCTATAGGGCATGGACGATGGGGAGATCTTGTCGCAAAGACACCCATCCTTTCTCCTTTCAGCCTTGGTACTCTTACCTTTGCCTTGAACTTAGATTGAGATGGATGCTTCCATAACTTGTCAAGATCCGTATTTAGATGAAAGACATACATTATCCAGCAGTGAGAATAGCCTTCAAGACCCTCAAGAGATGCAGGTGGAACTCGAGTTGGATCAAATACTAAACATGCTCTAGCAAGAGGTACAATCAAAGGTTGCCTTGGAGTCCCATTCCTAATGAAAAATATTAATGCCACACAATATTATTTACAGTACCATCAATAATAAGAAACCCTACAATAAAACACAATGTTAATGCAGTTTTGACTTTTTAGGAAAAAAATTAAAACAAGAAAATGTTACCTCGTGGAGAAGCATGACTGAGTGATTGCAATAGGTGCCAAAGGATATGAATTATTAGAATTATTTGAGTTGGCTTTCCTCAATGCCTGTTGAGCTCTAATGCGGCCTTGCCTCTCAGCACTGCATTTTTGCAATGCAGCCTTCAAAGATATTTCCAACTCTCGGATTTTCTCCTCATCAGCTCTTGTCTTTCTTCTCCAAAATCCAACACCTGTGGCTGCTGCTAATGTAGAAAGCGCCACGAATACTATGGAGACTGTTAGCAATTTGGTCGCCGCCATGAAAATTAATGACCTTGAACGAAAGACGATCAATAAATATTAATGATCTTCCTCATTTGGGAATTTAGAGAAAAATAAAATGAAGTTACAAGTTTAATAATTTTATAGGAGTTTTTGGCTAAAAACATCTCTGAACTATGGTCCAAACCTAAAATACATCCCTTAAATCTCTCAATTCTATCCCTCCCGCCCGATTATGTTCCAACTTCATCGAAACTAAGGCTTCAAAAACTAAACTTTCTTTCATTCTGAACTTCATAGAATAATCTAGAGCAAAGTTAGAGGAAGAAGAGATTATAGCAGGTTATTCTCCTAAACCAAAACACGTGACTTCCCCCCTAAATCTCCTGGTCAAAAGTAGAGCTTTTAATCACCACAGGTGGGTGATGACTTATCATGGAACAACTCAGTGAATTTCGCGTTACTTTCTGCAGTACTTCAACTATATGGGTATTTTTATCAATTGAGAGTTTTCCTGATAAGATGGAGGCACTTTTGCGCTAATTCATACACCCAGCAGTCTACTACATAAATGAACTAAAAGATGCTAAATTTAACTCCCTGAATAATGGGACTTGAAATTTACACATAACATAAATGCAATCTCTTTCAGGAATTTTAGCAAACAGGTAAGGGGCATCTCAACACTGACTTAGCATTTTTTTTTGGACAAGGACTGACTAAGCAGATCTTAATTATTGAATGGTTATACAATAGTCTCTTTCAAGATGAAGAAATGAAGAGAACAGAAACTAACTAATCCCACTCGTCAACTACATTAGCCAATTAAAACACTGCTGGAACAAGAAAGTCGAGAAAGATTATGGACTTGACGTTTACCTTGTTTCATGAAGCGCAATTACAGTGTAGTACGGCAAATTGTAGCTCTTCCAGTTTTAATGGCGTAAAAGAGTTGTAGTTCAAAATGAAAGAAAAGTTCAGCTTTTTTTAAGCCTTTTCGCTGAAGGTTGAAGACAGGGAGGCACGAAAATCAGAATATGGATACTAAACGGAAGGGATGTGTTTTGTTAACTAGTTTATGGTTTCCCAATTATAATCATTTAAATTTTTGAATTCTAAATTAATAATTTGTACATATTCAATATTTTTTTTTAAGACAAATATGGAGTTTAAATTAAAGCTACTAGTTTCGGCTGAATCAATAACATGTATTCTAGCTCCGCCCTTAGGTGGAAGCATGAATGCTAGACTTGCAATGGCAAAAAAGTTGTAAATTTTGAAGGCTACAACTCTTTGTGCTTTATACATGGAAATTGAGTTTAAAGCCTTGCTTGGATATAATGCATATCTCATATTTGCTGATGAAGATGTACACGCTATACAAGGAGAGCGTTGGGATTTGCGAATGATTATTTATAGTAAATGACTGTTATATAAGTATGCTCCTCTTTTGGACAAATCTTGACCTTACTGAAGTAATATTATGATTTCTTTTGAAAAAGAAAAAAAGATGGTGTGTGACAGGAGTGTAACTTGATTTAATTTATAAGGCCAACCAACATATACCAGATCCTCATCAGTAACTACAAAACTTGGCCCTACAATCACATTCATTTAAAACTATAATCATCAGAAATCAAAATGTCTTAAGCATAATCATGACTTTCTTCTGCTGTGGTATATATTTATAATTCTCAAGTTCCACAAACATAGTCTGCTTGAAAAATGAAAATAACAACTAACAATATATTCAGTATATTCCCACAAGTGAGGTCTGCGGAGGGTAGTTTGTACTACCTTGTCAGGTAATGAACAATGAAAATAAATGGCACTTAATCAAAATAATAGAGAGCGAAAGAGCTGACAAATCAGCTCTCCAAGTTCTTTCAATTAGAACTTCTGTCCTTGCAAGTCTGTAAAATACAAATGTGTGAGCTTCATCCGAGGAAAGTGTGGTGAAAATTTCTACAAGAAGTAAAGCTGTAAAATTTAGTGTTTGATAAGAATTCTTTGGGAGGATCCAACTGTTTCTGGATTCCCCGTACGCTCTACAATTCCCTTACATTTGCAAAGAATGTGTAGTCGAAACAAAAAGACCAGAATCACCGGTTCTGGAGAGCTTCAATCGCCTTTTTCCACTGCTGTGCTCGTTGTTTAGAATCCTCAAATGACATAACTTTCTTTGGCTGTATGATCACAAGTTGAACGAAATAGTTAAACTCGAGATGAGTTGGCAAAAGCTAATAACAGCTTCACTACCAATATACAATGAAAAGCAAAGGGACTTAACTGTACAAATCTTGAACTGTGAAGGGCTAGTGACTTGAATACTAAGATCATTAGGATTGTCGGACCATATAATGTTCCCTTTGACCACCAATTTTGAGGGATCTACATAAATCAACTTTGGTTTATTTGTTAGGATTAGCTGAACTTTCTTGTTTGTAAGTTTCTGTATCTTTTTCACCATGGAAATCATGAGAACAGATTCACCAGGTTCCAAAAACTGCTTCCTGTTGATGTCATCACAAGAAACAAATTAACACGAATTAGTTATGAACAGGGAAGAGAGAGAGAGAATATAGCCCTTACGTACTTATGAAGCTCTATTAAAAAGGATAACGAGATAATTGCTTCTCAGGTCTCAGGTTTAAATCCCAACGGAGGCAAAACACTAGGTGATTTACTCCCATTCGTCCAAGCCTAGGTGGACAGCGATAAAGAGTTACCTGATATATGTTGCTGGTGAGAGAGTAGGTATCCCGCGGAACTAGATGAGGTGCGCACAAACTAGCCCAGACATCACCGTTAAAATAAAAATTGCATAAAAAATATTCCGGAGTGTTTTTCATTATGTAGGTAAGTAAGCAGAAGTTCAGGATCCTACCATTTTGAATCAAAAGAGTCGATCGATGCAAGCCTGGTGATGCTACCAGTTTCAGAAGTTGATGTAGCACCGCCATTTCCATCGCTAGGTCTAACTGAACCATCGCCAATATGCGATGGATTCCATGAAGGATCTTGTTCGTCGCCACTGCTATGAGTTGACGGGGCCTAAATGATTCGAACTAGCACTTCAATAATTGTATAAATGTCTAACCGGAAAAGAAATATCTCTCAGGACAAAATAAAATGAGGCTTGAATGACTAAAACATAAAGAGGGAATGACTTACTTTTGGCTCCATAGCAAGCTTTGGAGGAGTTTGTGACCTTAAATTCTCCCAATCAATCCCATTAAAAAAAGGATGATTTTTCAGCGAAGCATAACCATCAGGTCCAGCACCAGGTCTTCTGCTAGGATCAATATCCTGAGATGTTGGAGCATTTAAGCCAGTCAGGCAGAAAAGAGAAGATCAATACGAAAATGTATCTAGCATACCACAGACATTTTCCACCCAACTCGAACTTCTATAACCTTAATCTTCATAGAAACCCGTAAAAGACATTGTGACAATCGCTAGCATTAGCACAAATGTTCTGCTCCCGAAATATCAACTACATCTCCTTGAATCATGCATTGACTTCTTATTACAGTACCTCCTCCTCCCTACTTACCATTAAAATATACAAATATGTAAAAAGCTCCTTTCCCTCCCTGCACTCCCCCAAAAAATTTCCACCAAAGGGTAAGGGGGAAGAAAAAGGAGAATTCTTTCAGTTTATGTTACTCTTGCCTCTTTAACCCACATTACACAAGCGGTTTTTTGTTCAGAACTGGAAAGCACTAGCTGCAGTGACCAAAATTTTATATCTGGCAAAACTGCACTCAATATTCTAAGCTTCTGCCCCCTCAATATTTTCAACGTTGAACAACTATATCCTACTAGCAAGGAATTAAGTGAAGCCTGATAACGATTTATAAATAAAAACAAAACTTTGTTCTCCACAAAACTCTTAGCTTTCATATCTCCCAACAAAAAAGAGATCTTTCCATTAGCAAGGTATCCAATGCATATTATAAATAGGTATAAAATTGCATCTTCGTACCGTCTCAAAACCACAAAAAACATTCAAGTAACATCACTTCGGAGGGATTATTCCCTGTTCTATTCAGAAGAGAAAGATAGGTCGATAGACAAATATATGCTCCATACTACCAAGAACAAACTAGATATAACTTTTGATCAGAAATATTATAACTTCACCAACAAAGCTGGTCATCCCTCACTTCAAGCAGGTATATAATTTAAAGTAAAAACGCTACACTGTTTAAGTAACAAACTTGAAAGTCCTGAGAATCAGTTTAAAGTGATGAAGTGATAGTTCTAGATAACCTCAAGCAGAAAGATAAGTTGTGAAAGCTTCAGCAATAAAACTTAAAGATGAAGTTCAGTCAAATGGGGAAGCATAAAAAATTTAAGACATAAAAGGAATAAAGGTAAAATAATAGGGGAAGAAAAAAGAGGAACCACAGGATGGAAGTGAAGGTTAAGTATGAAATAGTAGCTCACCAGCAACTGATCAATAAGATCTCTGGCTTCATTTGAAAAATAATTTGGAAATCTGATATCTCTGGCAATGATTCTTTGGAAGATGAGCCATTCACTGGCATCTTTAAATGGAGAAGTTCCCGAAAGCATTTGATACAACGTGCATCCAAGTGCCCAAAGATCATTTCTGGTACGATATGTCCAGAAAACGAATAATGATGTTAGACATATAGGATTCATATGCAACACAAAGAAGGGAAAAACTTGGCTTTTCCGAAGCATTGAAATCCATACCCAAAAGTCGCAGGAGAAGAATTTAAAACTTCAGGAGGGACATAAGCAGCTGTTCCCACAAAAGTACAGGCTTTGTCATCTGGATAAAAGAAAAACAACCAATCCAATAATGAGGAAGACAACAACATACTCTCACGAGCGTCCTCATAGAAAGCAATATTTACCTGATGCCGCGTTTGGAAGGACTGTTATTCTGCTATCCTGCATTGGCTTTACGCTGCCAAAATCCGCAATTTTAATATGTCCATCTGAACTAAGAAGCAGGTTCTCTGGCTGCCAATAAGCGAACTGTAAGAATCCCCCACCCGTCATATATTATTCACGCAACAGTCCACTTTGTCAAAATACCTTAATGTCTCGATGAATCAATCCCATACTATGTATATATTCAAGAGCATCTACAACTTCAGCTGCATAAAAACGTGCCTCGTCTTCAGACAAACGGCCTTTCTGCACCCACCAAAGTTAAAAGCACACTATACATCAGACAAGCAGTCACAAACTTTGGAGAAGAGAACTACTTTGAAGAAAGGACGGAAACATTTTCAGTAAATTCACGAAAATACCAATATTCGACAGGAAAAAACACAAATATACAGGAAACTTTTGTGAAGATGTTCATTCTTTTGTGGCACTTCATATAACAACAAAAAAGAGTACATGCATCAAAGTTCTTCATTTACTTACCCTTGTTATTTGATCAAAAAGCTCTCCACCTTCACAAGACTCGAGCGCCATGTCTTCAGAATACAGCCAAATACAATTAAATTAGACAAACCAAAGTTCCACACCAGAATGCAGACAATGGAGGAAAAAGACTCATAATGAAGAATATATAAATTACTCACACAGCGAAAAAGTGTCTTGAAAGGTGAAGAATAGTCGGACAACACCAGGATGATCTAGCTGATCAAGTACAATACGCTCTAGTTTCACATAAGCCGTCTTATTCTCCTTAGTGATGAACTTTTTGTCCATGATCTTCAACGCATAAACATTCCCGGTATCTTTCTTTTTTGCTCTAACAACCTGATATATCATAGAAAGTAAGTAACTAGTAAATGGTAAAACTAAACTTGATACAGATAATTAAGCATGACACCATAATTCCCATTCAAATTAAACTTAACTTGGTAAAATTCAATTTGAGGAGTGTGATCTTTAATTAATTACACTAAGTTTTTTCTTATTCTTCTTTTTGACAAATCAGATATATTCTATATATAACACACCAAGTCAGTGTCAAAAATGAGAATCTTCTATTTACACCAAAAGCAAATGAAACAAGAATGAGTTTTTAACATTCCTAACATCATTAATGCCATGAAACATTTCTTTTATGAGTATTAATCTCTTCAAATGAACATCCTCTTACCAGAAAATTCAGAAAAAACTTCAAATATAAACTACACTAAATTATATTCTTCACTTTGGCCTAGAAACTACATTTCTGCAAACTCAAAGACAATGACCATTCTTTTCTCATTTTCTCTTGTGCAGAGGCTTTTTATGATAGGACTAGCTCAATAGAACCCTTCCCCCCCCCAACCCCCTCCCCCCACACACAAAAACATTGTTTTAACTATAAATTTTCCAAAAGAGAAGCATAGGAAACACAAGTATCAAACGCCAACAAAGGAGAATGAAAATGAAGGTAAAGGAGCTAAAAGAATTATTATTATTATCACAGCTAAGCACAAATTTGAGGAAATAAAAACCAACAGTACAAATGCTACCAAAATTGAAATATTTTAGGAAATGACATAAAAAGATAAGGAAGAGAGAAAAAAAAAGACTGACCTTGGAATAAGAACCAACACCATAGATCTTTCCCAATTCAAAATCTTGAATTGTAAAATTCTCCTGTGGTGCTCTGAATGCAAAACTCTTAGATCTCTGAGTAGTATTAGGAGCTGAATTATTCTGAATTTTTAGCTTTGCATCAAATTCTTTCTCCATTTCACCTTCCAATGCCAACATTTCACCCTTAAAAATCCAATCTTTTCACCACCCCACAACCTTATTTTGTTCAAACAATATAATATATTTATATTTAACAGAAAAAGATTGGATTTTTTTCACAGCAAATGATGAAATAGCAGAAAAAGAGAGAAACCCATGACACATCAGATCATATTTTCTTTATATATTCTCTCTTTTTTTAAAGAGAGACCAAACTGATAAAGCAAATTCCATATGTCAAAGGCAGACACCCAAAAGCAAATGATTCCTTATACATGCAAATATCTTTCTATATTTCCATAAAAAATTAAATTTAAAAGAAAAATAAAGAGAGAGAGAGACACCAGTAATTATGTCTATATATGTGTATATAAAGGTGAGAGCTTTATTTAGGTTTCTTTCTTTTTTTCCTTTTCTCTAAACCCTAGAAAGCAAAGGTGATTAAGATTAAAGATTCAGAAGAAAAGGGAAGAAGGAGACATTGATGAATAATAGCACAATGCTTGTAATAATATGTTATGGGGATTGAAGAGCACATGAAAATGAATGATGGGTATCATTTCATTTTTGCAATTCCATTCCAAAATCCAATTTCTTTGAAAATATTTTAATATAAATTGAATTTTTTGAGTAAGTTAATACTTCATATGTCCCATTTTATGAAGTTTAAGAAAGAAATACCTTTAAAATTTGTGATCTAAAGCATAAGTATTTATATGGTTGTAAAATAAAAGTTGAAGATTAAATTATTTTTAAATATAAAAAAAATTGGAAAAAAAATACACCATTTAAATTAGGAGAGAGGAAGTATATAGAGTATTTTTTTTTATGTATATAACAAATATATATGTATAGGTCCTAAAATGTAGGGTAGGGGAGAGGATGATATTGCTACCTATGATTGGGGATTCCTTCAAAAATGGCATTAGTTACATTGCATGCTGCCATTACATTGGTTTTACTGTCACTTTAAATAATGGGATTCTTTGGATTTTACAAGATCTATTTTTTTATTTTTTTTGTGCAAGTACATTTTAAAAAAAAATTCGTGCAAATTCCCTTCTTGGGAAATAAAAAGGGTAAAGTTTTCTAGGGCCTTACCTTGTAACCGGTGCTTGGATGTATTGATGAATAGCTTCAACTGTCAGCGACCCAAAACCAATCGTTGCGACGGCGCCTGTGTGGAACTAGGCAAACTAATTACTCAACTATTTCAACATAACTAAAAGCTTTGAAAAATACGGAAGCAATTAATATTTAAGGAAAAACTTTTTGAAAATAGAAAATAAGTTCGTAATTCAATACAATCCTCTCCCAAAACCGGAGGGTCACCGAGTACATGAGCCTCTATACCGGGATACAATCTACTATAACGTCTAAGGAATAAGAGCTGAAGTACACATAAAGATAATAACGGAGAGTCAAAGCCTGTGAACGCCATGTAGCTACCTCAATAGTCTTCCGAGATCTTGACTCCACACTCAGCAGCCACCGTGACCAAAAGCACTTGGATCTGCACACGAGGTACAGAGTTTAGCGTGCGTACAACCAACTCAATAAGTAAAAAATTCAAACTTTGGACTGAAAAAAGTGACGAACTCAACCGGCACAGTTCAATATAGAAATAACAATGCAGACACGTACACATGCTTTCAAGTTTGATAGGTAACTCAAAACAGGAAAATGGATCAAATCTGAATGATATGGAGAATATAACTCCTCTACTTCTATATGCCAATGCGCGTGCCGTATGTGCCGCACCATGCTAACAGCCTCATGTGCTCACACTCTCAAATGCTCAATCGCTCAATACTATATATGGCCCATACGACCTAGGGAAGATCCATCCCGAAATAAATACATCACTAAGTATCAGTCACCCAGTATTGAGTAAGGCCAATCCAGCCCGTGGAGAAGATCCTTCTCCGGGTATATAATGCTTCGGACAATATTCATGTCCAAGGAAGATCCATCTCTCAATATAATCAACCGCGCTCACTGGAGCTGTGTGCAGACTCTGAAGGGGCTCCTTCAGCCCAAGCGCTATCATAAATCAGTATAACCGCTGCAATGTGCAACCCGATCCCATAAATGTCATTCATAATGAGGCCCTCGGCCTCACTCAATCATCAATCTCTCTAATCTCTCTCATGGACTCACAATGTCATAAAGCTAGCCCGAAAATAATGATATGATGTATCAATAAATAACAACAGAGACTGAGATATGATATGAAATGAATGAATATGACTGAGTACGAAGTATCAATGAAATCAGTAAGACAACAACAAAAATCGACCACTATAGGTCTCAACAGTACCGGCATAAAGCCTAAACATGATATCTAGCATGACTGACAACTCAATTACTTTATCTCATGATGAAAACACGGAGATCAACAAGATAGAACCACTATACAGTGCCATGGAATCGACCAAGTCACAATTCTCACGGTGCACGCCCGCACGCCCGTCACTTGGCATGTGCATCACCTCAATACCAATCACATAACACATAAATTGGGGTTTCGAACCCTCAGAACCAAGTTTAGAAGTGTTACTTACTTCAATCCGAGCAAATACCTACTCCAATGCGCCTTTGCCTCACAAATCGGCCTTCAAGTGACCCGAATCTAACCGCAAATAATAACATACAATCAATACGGGATAAAGGAATCAATTCTACAAGAAATTACTAAGTTAAAACTCAAAAATTTGATATTGGTTCAAACCCGGCCCTTGGGCCTACTTCTCGAAATCCAATAAAAGTCACGAAATTCGAAAGCTCATTCGACCACGAGTCTAACCATACCAAATTTATAAAAATCCGACCTCAAATCGCCACTCAAATCCCCAAAATCGACTCTCCAAATCCGTAGTCTCAAACTCCCAAATTATACCTCAAAAATATAGCAACAATGTGGAAAATTAGTGGGGAAACATGATTATTAAAGAAAGATAAACACAAGGAACTTATCTCAAGAATCCCCTTGAAAATCCTCTCAAAAATCTCCAGAATCCGAGCTCAAAATGTTAGAAATGGTGAAAATCTCGGAACCCTCGCTTATATAGGTTCTATCCAGTCAAATCGCTTTTGCGGTTCACATAGCTGCTTCTGCAACCTCGCAGGAGCGCCTCAGGGCCCCCTTCTGCAACTAACTCCGCACATGTGCAACTAACGATCCAATGTATTTCACGATTTTATAACTATGAGTGAGTTTATGTTAATTAGCCACGGGTAATAATTCTATGTTAGTTTCTTCCAAAGACTAATAAGACTTCCTAATTGAATTATCCCTAAAAGAATTAGGAGATTAAACACACCTGGATATGGCTACAAGTAGTTCAATCCTATCCCTAGGTAGAATCTATAAAATGAGGGTTAAAGCCTCAAGTTTTTGTTCATTAATCTTTCCCAACCCCAAATAATCTATTCGAAAATTAATTCGAAGTTAATGGGAGAGTCCTAAGGTTAGCTAATCCCTTTGAAAACGTTAAAGAACAAGAATAGTTAAAGAAACAATAACTCACTTCATAAAAAGATAAAAATCATTTAATACATAAGCACAACAAGATATTTAATCCACACTTTAAACAAGTATATTTCCATAAACAAGATTCAAGTGTTGGATAAAATACTACACACTTAGATATTCAATACAAAGCAATAAAATGAAGAAATGAACATAAATGTGTAAGAAATTCTCAACCAAAAGTTTCAAATCTTCATACCAAAGTGTGTGTGCAAACCCTAGCTCCCAAAACTTGTTCTCTCTAGTTTTTAGAACTAAAAATAAGCCAAAAGATCCTTTACAACTGAGCTAACTCAGGTATTAAATGGTTTGGGGCAAAAAAATGTGAAATTACAGAATTGCCCAGAACTGAAGCGCGATCTTCGCATTTGCGAACAAAAGTTCGCAATTGCGAACTTTGGCTATCTTGTTGACCATCGCATTTGCGATCAAGACTTCGTATTTGTGAAGGTTGACTACCTGGTTTGACTTCACATTTGCAAAGTCTTCTTCGCATTTGCGAACATAACTTGAGTAGGCTTACTTCGCAATTGCGATGTATTTCTTACAATTGTGAGCTCTGTTTTGTTCGCATTTCCCAAGTCAGTGTCGCATTTGCGACAACTGAGGCTATTTTCTAGATTTTCTTCTTTTCAGCTTCTTTTTGACTCGTTTCACTTGGTTTCTTCAAGATCACTTCTAAATCACATAGAACCTGTAATATAGAAGTAAACGACATTAAACACATGATTTTATCACTAAAAATAGCAAAAACCTATGCTTAAAGACGAGATAAGTTGGTAAAATACCAACTTATCAAACCCCCAAACTTAAACTATTGCTTGTCCTCAAGCAATGAAAGCGACAAAATCTCCTCCCAAGTATTTAACTCAATAGTGCATCCATATCATGCCAAGCCAAAAAAGGTCTACTATAAGCACAAACACATGACTTTAATTGGTACCAACAATTAATCCAAAGCATATGAATTACCAAACACTTCTCATGAATCTCATTACATTTCAAGTGTTCAAACACTATGCAAATCAAAGTAGCAATCAAGTCATGACACTGAAGCTTCAAAATTTGCCTCTCTATCAAAATTATCTTCCCTCGTTCATTTCTCCCAATTAGAAATGGGATTAAATTCACAATTCAAATCTCATGTGCCCTCACACTTAAGAGAGAATCTCACACTCATAATTTGCAATTTAAAACATAGATGGATATCAAGTGGAAAAAATAAGCTCTCACTCTCACAAAGATATTCAGATGCACAAAAGTAGTGCCATAGGCTTGCCCTTATTTTAATTCGCCGCATATTCAAGAACATTCGGTTGGAGGTCCCATAATGACTTTTTAAGCTTGTAATGTAGGTTTAGGGAAAGATTGGAGCATTTAGGATACAAGTGACTACACCCTCCTTGAACAATACTCACATTTGTCCTTCTTTTTGCGCTTCGCTTCTTTTTAAACCATATAGCCCTTATTGGCATCTAATTATCAAGATAGAACCACCTTAAAGTACCTCTCTAATTTTCTCAAGACTCCATATTTATATATATACATATTAACACCCTTCTTTTTGGAGCTTGAGTAGCTTCATATGAACAACTTTGAGGTATATATTTCTACCCTCAATATACAACCTTACCAATTTTCAACTTGATACCAACACCCCCAAACTTAGGCTTTTAGCCTCATTCTCAATATTCAAGGAGGGACGGGTGCAAAAGAGGAAATTATTTCACAAAAGGATAAAAGTTTTTAATGAGGTGGCCAAAGAAAAGGTTAAAGGCTCAAATGGGGGAAACTAGTGATTATATTTATGCAATGATAGGCTTGAAAGGCTAAAGAGGCTTTTTCAAATATCACAAAGAATGCCTAAGGTCATCCCTCCAACCAAACATAATTAATATTAGCATTGAAAGACCAACCGAGCAAGTTCTAGACTACAAATGATGCAAAAGAACTTCACAATAAGTCTCATCACACTGGCACATGAAAATTCAAGTAGAATACAAATCCAAAATCCAATTCAAACCAACGAATCTAAAGGAAGTTACGTGTAGCATAAGAAGCTATTTAGTGAATCAAA